CCCCAAAACCCCAAAACCCCAAAACCCCATCATACTAAATAAATTGTAGAATAAGCGTAATTAGGAATTAATCTGTGTTGAGAAATAATTAACTTTTAATCAACAAATAAACCATAGATTCAATAATTTATTAAATGATACCTAGTAGAAAACTAAAGTTCTTTTTTGCACTTTTCTTTGTCTGCAGCTTTCTTGCATAATGCCAAGGATAGACCAAAAAGAATAATTCTGTACTAACCAATGATACAATTGCCAGTAATTCAACTGACTCTAGTAATTCAACTAACTCTAGTAATTCAACTGACTCTAGTAATTCTACCGCTATTACCAATAACACTAATAATACCAATATTACGAATACCGGAAACGGAACTGGAATTAACAATACTGCAAATAATAATTCCGCTATCAATGCAACTAATTCAACTGTAGCATAGATCGGACTGCTAGGTACATCTTATAATGAATGTGTGGCATTTATGAGTCTTGTTTAATGCACCGAATGCTTGACACTCAATAATGTGACTTTTACTGCCAAGTACCCTTATGGGTAAAATCAAGATTACGAGGAAATATCCTGTCCGGAATACACTCAAATTACATGTCCAGACGGAATAATGAGAAGTACTTGTAGCTGGAGAAGATATCTTTCTTTCAAATGCATTAGAGAGTTTAATACAACCGGCACAAAAGCATCCTTTGAAATACGTACTAACTCTCTTCCTAATTATTGCTACTAACCATCTCAAAAGTAGCCACTTGGTTCTTAGGATGCTGTTAATTACTATGGCTTTAGTGGCAAGTTCAATCCACCTCTCACTTACTATAATCCATCTCTTGAGATCGAAATAAGGGATGCTGGAAACAAACTTTCAAAAGTTAACTACTTTAATTAGTAGATTACTAAATAGGTAGATTATGACAATAATCTTTGCAATACTCAGTGGGCGAGAGATTCTATTCTAAGAGAGAACAAATACAAAAGTATTAATTACAATTCCTTTGTTGGAAGGTCCTTCAAAAATTCCAGTGGAGTGCTCGTAAGAGTAGAGAACTCAACATGGGGTCCGAGTTTGAATTTCGCGTAGTATCAGAATCTTAATTACTTAGAATTGAAAAGCTCAAATCAAGTTGTCGGTGTAGCCTTAAATGGAGTATTTATTTTCTCAGGAAATTCAATCTACGGATATGATGCTTTCTTTCCAAAATAATACGGTACTAATTCATTCCCTAAAAAGATTGAAACAGATCAGTGTCTCGGCACAACATCTGAGTCAAATACATATAGGTATCATATGTTTTCACCTTGCATCTTTGAGATTGCTCTCAGAGACACCCCATCATTGTGTGTAAACTCCTCATCTTGTTCTGCAGATGTAAGGAATCACTCCGTTTCACATGTTCCTTCTTAAAAGAGAACTCAAACACCGATTGGAATTGCTAAGGACGGCAGATTAATATATGGACCTTACCGAAAAGACGGTAAGCTTTGGCAACCATGTGATGTCGATATTTGCAATGGAGTCATATTCCAAGATCTTAACTATGGCTATGTAGCAACAATGTTCCACCCTTACACAGTAGGATGCTATGGTCCAGGGAATGCACCACAGAACTTTTTAGCATCTTGTTCTAGTAATGCTAGAAAATGTCTTGGTAAAAACTCCATTTACTTGAGTATAACTTACTCATTGATTGCATTGCTAACTTTCGCTTCAGCCATATTTATATGATGATTACAACTATTTATTTCCCAACATAAAGTTGTAATCAAAATCAATAAAAGATCCTACTTTACTTTTTTCTTTTAATTACTTTAATTTCATTAAAACATTGATTCCTTTGTTTTTTTAATTATTTTTAAAATCAGATTTTATTTCGATGGGGTTTTGGGGTTTTGGGG